CTTGCTGTTTGCGGTTGAAATGATCTCTTTTGCTGGCCAAATGGAAAGCAGTGATGTCTCACTTGCCTTGACTTGTATCTGCAGTCCCTAAATCAGTTCCCCAGTTACCCATTGACTCTTGTCTGTTCTGGTGTTCCTGTTCATTGTTGTCTCCATTGTTGTTCTTGTCTGTTGTATCTCCTTCTTGTGTGTCCCTTTCTCCTGTTCTCCTTTCTTCATCCTCTACTCTGTTTGGCTCATCTGTGATGACTGTGTAGGTAAACACAAACAAGTATGTAAGTCAATCCGTTTCCAGCTCTGTCAAATAAACGAATTTCAAGATACACAAATGTGTCTTCATTAAAATGAGTGTCACCACACTGTCACAAAATGTAATACTAACCAATTGAAAATAGTTAAATTTACATCTCTTGTAGATATCACTGTTAGAGTAGTTATCTGCCAATAGGACAGAATCATTCCTATACAAATGCAGTTTGAGTAATTCACTTAATACATTTACTTAAAACTTTAATATAGTCATTTTCACTTAATACTCTAATATAGTCATCTTTCTGCATTCAACACTAAGGAAAGCTGTACAATTTGACATGATAATGAGGAAAAAAGGCCTCCGACAATGCAGATATTTTTGGATCATATCAATTTTAAGATGGGGGTCAAGGCTTAATATTTGGGAGCATATTGTCCCTTGCTTTGATTAGCTTTGATCTGAAAGCTTGTTAGCTGGCTGTCCATCTCATAATGTTCACATAGAAACTAGCTGTCAATAGGAAATATCAATCAGAAGAATTATAATTTCTTGCAAAAATCTGTCACAAAAGAGGTTGTACATTTAAATGCAGGTGTTGTTATGGCAACGTCAGTGGCCAGACAGCCACATTTACTGCTGCAAATACGTTCAAACATGCTGTCGACACCTAAAGCAGTGGCATGCCACCATTTCAGCTGACTTTTTCTCAGAAATACTGTCACATAATATCCATATATTTCAGTGCTAGGTTGATGCTTAGCTAAGCTAACTATGAAACACTTTAACTGACAGGACTCAGGATCAACTGTGTACTGTAAGGTAGCTTCTAGCTTCATGTCGAACACTGACAGTAAGTCAACATTTCCCAGAGAGCTTTCTTTGAAATCACCAAGAAACGCTAAAAAACACAACATTTAGATTGTATGACAAAGTGTTTATTTAATATATCTGGCTAGCTATAGCTACTTGCTAACGGTTTAGCTTACCCGCGCGATTCAAAGTAACGTCAACGTGGCTATAATTTATGCTTTGCTTACATGTTGACATAACTTGTAAGTTTACTGACATGTACATACCTTGTTCACCTGGCTCAGGTGGTGGCTCTGGGGTTGTTGTGTGAGCCACCATTTGAGAATTGCCGTCTTTTTTATTTAAAAAATGTCTAATGTCCATCTTCAGAAACTCCGCGTCCGCGGCTGAAAGTTTAAACACTGTCACAGAGGAGAGGTACGTACCTGTCACTGTCAGCCAATAAAACAAGTTTATTTCCATGCAACTCTCTGATTGGTCTGGTGGTGTCTTGCCTCTGTTGCATTCACTGAACACGGGAAATTACATTCCTGCCGTCCTCTAGGTAAAGTACGGTTAATGTATTATATTATTGAGGGAGAATTTGTCCGGGGCTAAAGAAAAAACATCCGGGGCTTTAGCCCCGGATGCCTACCCCAGGCGACGCCCATGGCCTAAACCATTCAGTGCTTTATAAACCAGTAGCAATATTTTTGCAATGCAAACATTGTCATTTTCATGTGTCATACATTAACATTACATACTATTATGTATAGCAAATCATTTATTCATGGTCCTTTTATATATTTCAACATGTTTTCTTTTTCAATATACTATATTAAAAAAACTACTGTCAATTGCATTATATCCAACAGCTCAATACATGTATCCTTAAAGGTCCAATGAGAAGGATCGAGGGGGACTTATTGGCAGTAATTGAATATTAATAACCATGTTTTCATCAACATGAATGACCTGAAACTACATATCATTTAGTTTCTGTTAGCTTAGAATGCATGTGTCTCACTGTTCTGAGTTTGTATCGTTCTATGGTTGAATGTTATTGTAAGTAACTTTTTATAAAGGTTTTAGCTAAAAGGAATGTAATGTCCCATATATAAAGACGACAGTTCGGCTCTGTGACTACCTTAGCTGCCAACATAGCCGTTAAACAACAATGTCCCTCCCCCATTCCTCATCTTTTGATTTATACAGAACATCAAAGCAGTGCAGCAGCCCCCCCTTGGACATGCTGTTTGCACAGGCCTACATCCAGAGAGCTTTCTGCATGTTCATGGCCACTGTAGTTATCTGACCCACTTGAAAAGGAAGGGGTTATTTGATGGATGTATTGCTTTTCTCAAACATATTCATAATTATCCTTTTTTGAACCCTTTATTACTTTCAGGACTTTTGTCACAGGGGGTAACAAAGGCAGGACCCACATGCAGTATAAAACAGGGTGGCAGGTATAAGAGTGTAACAAAAGACAAGCTTTATTAAATAAGAAGCTGGTACAAAATAAACACAAAAACTGGAGAAGCAGACATGGTCAAACAAAAACTAGCAACAATCGGGAAGACTTTGAGGACAGAGGAGGGCAGACGAGGGAAAGCAAGAACAGGCAGACAAGAGATTAGGAACCAAACCAAGGGAACGATGACCATGGACAAAAAGGAAGACAAGACTAAATACTGTACACACAAGACTATTCAAGACACAGCTGGGGAGGCCAAACAGGAACACAAGGTGAACACAATCAGACAATCAGGGGAACACTAATGCCCCGGCCACACGAGGACGAAAACGGCTAAACGCATAGGATTAACGCAAACGCAATCGCAAAAAAGCTTCCGTCCACACGCAATAGTCATCCGGATAGTGTCTGTCCACACGAGACAGCTCCGTTTAGCTCCAACCGCTGGAGAAGCTGCAGTACATATGCTGAGCCTGTACGTGGCGCTGTAACTTCCTCCACAAGAGCAGCGAAGAAGCATGGTTGTCATGGTTGCCCTCAGGGTCGGCTCTAGAACAAATCGAATGGGGGGGCAATTATTTACCATGGGGGGGCACACACTGCCGTCAACAACCAACACACAAACACCATTGCAGGGGTGTATGTGCTATTTTATAGCGCACCTATGACTTGTGCATACATGCACGGTTGTGGCACAACCACCAAAAAAGAAACATATGGACATAGGCCACCATATAAAAAGTGTGCAAATGTATTTAGTATCCTATCCATGTGAACATGTTGTAGGTGGGGGTGGACCTAACCTCCTCTAGGAGGGTCCGGGGGCATGCTCCTCCGGGAAGATTATTTTTAAAATATTGAAGTTAAATGAATCAATCTGGTGCACTTTGAGAGCAAAATGAAGAGATCTATGGATAGCCTACATCTCTCAGCATCCATATGAAACACAACTGTACACAGATTTACTTTTTCTTTATGGATATTTTACAAATCACTCCCCTTTTAAATTGTATTCTTGTGTTACTGTCCTATAGTATTTCATACCCGTTTTTCATGTATTCTCTTATTTTTTAATAACTATAATGATCATATAAAGGTGTTCCTCGCAAATACTTGTTTACATAAATGGTGACCAAACCGTTTGAGACCCACTGAGATAACTTACACTAAAGTGAACTATCTAAACACTGAGAGAGTCCTTACCTCACTGAGCTGAGGTTATACGATCCTCTCTGATGTCTGACAGGAGAGGACTCTCCTCCACCTTGGTGTAGAAACAGCTCTTTATATCCGTTAGCATAGCTAGCTAACCAGATGCTAACAACAACATTCCACGTTACCGCTCGCGCACTCACAAAATGCGCTCGTGCCACACACACACAGAGCCGAGCTTGAAACACAGAGACCCAGAAGTAGGCTACTTGTACTGTACTGTATATCACATTATTTTCGATGGCTTACTGTATAATCAGTGTAACAGATGAACAGATCACCACCGGGCTTTCATCTAAACACAGAGCCACGTAATGATAACAAAAAAAGCAACACACCAATCAGAGAGCAGCAGTGAGCACACCTCAGGCTGTGTTTTATATTTGTATTCTTTATTTCTGACGTATTTCACACAAAAAACATTTAGTGGAAACGTTTTCACTTATATGATTTAAAAAAATAAAAAACCGGCAAAGTGTCAAGGCTTGCCCACCCTGCGTTGGGGGGGGGGGGGGGGGGGGCACAGTGACTCATTTGGGGGGGCATGGCCCGCGAATGACCCCCCATGACGCCGACCCTGGTTGCCCTTCTGTTTATTCTCCGCGGTGGGGGCCGAGGGAACCGGGCAGAGTTTTTCGCCAGTCAACGTGTATTAAAGTTGAAATCTTCCGACAAAATTATAAAAGTGCCGGTCAAAGGTCTTCTTTGTTATTTATTGAGCTTTAAAACAAATGAATAACGAATCTATATATTATAATAATAAAATACACGGAGCCTCTCTTTTTCCTCCCTCTCTTCGGACAGCGTCAGTGTCTGTCTCATGCAGCAGCTGATCCAGTAATGAGTGACCCGGCCGACAGTAAAAATAAACATATTTATATCTAGTTTAGGTAGTTTGAGAGGTAATTAAAATAGCTAAGGGTGATGATCGGACTTGAAGTGTGTGTTTTACTCCGTTCACCGCCGCATCACAGCGGGAGGAGCTGCAGGTGAGCAGAGCTGCGTGTCTCCGTCCTGTCAGATTAGACTTCACTCGCGTTTAGGTCCATATCGAGAGAAAGATAAATAATCTGAATTCAGTTACTTTGACGCGGGGGTGAGCAGCAGAGGTGGGGAGAGGCGGGGCTATTGCCTCATCATTATCAGAAAATGATCGTATAGGGCGTACACACGGAGCCGTTGGACCCCCCAGAGCGTTGCGTATGCCGTTCTATCCACCTTGGGACCCGTTATCGTTTACGCAGTCGTTTAGTGCCGTATTCGGTCGTCCTCGTGTGGCCGAACGGTCTATATGACACTAAACAGTAACGCAAACGACCGTTTTCGTCCTCGTGTGGCCGGAGCATAAAATACAGGAAGTTTAACCAGACAAGACACAAAGAGGGAACACGCTTCAGAATAAAACAAGAAACTATCAACACACAAACTAAGTTCATGGCACATTTTTCCTTTTATTGTTATTTTGTTCTATCTTTGTTGTGTATGTATCAAATGTTCTACGCCACCTTGTTTTTAAAGACTTATTGTTGGGTATTTCTCTGTTGTTCTTATCATTGTATGTTTTTGAACCAATGACAAAAAAGAATGGAATGGGAGGGGTTAGAGCAGGGGTATCAAACTCAAGGCCTGCGGGCCAAGTCCGGCCCGAACTCCATTTTATGTGACCCGCAAGAGCTTGCAAAGAATATAATATGTATATTATACGGCTACATGCCTCTTTACAGAAGCATGTTGCCCATAAACTACATGTCCCACAATGCATCTCATTTTGTGACATGCGCAATGAAGAGACTTGCAATTATTTGCCCAAGACTTCTGCTTTCAGACGTTGTTAATTATGAAGTTATTACCCTATCCGATAATAATCCAATGCAGAGGCAATAATGTAATATAATACATTATTTTATATATATTATATATTTATATATGTATTTTTATATAGTCTTAAAGTTACAACCGGCCCTTTGAGTGCAACCATAATGCTGATGTGGCCCGTGATGAAATTGAGTTTGAGACCCCTAGGTTGGAGGAATGTAGGGGTTTTCAGTTGGTTGCAATCTGCCTTCTTATGGCACTAAATCCCACACTGGTTATTTAAGTGGTGTAATGTTTCCAGTCCTCAGGTCAAACGTAGTTCTTGAAGGCGTAGCTGCTGTGTGTGGGTTTCCTGGCCAGTGTGTACCCACTGGAGGGAAACCTGCCTCTCTGTGGGGGGCAGCTGGTGCACAGAATGCCCCCCCCGCAGAATAGCAGCCCAGATGACACAAACCCAATATAAATGGCTGCCCCCAGCTCCCTCTTCAGCACCTCAGGGACGCGTGGGTTGTGGAAGTCTCTGATGATGGAGTTGGCCGACCAGGAAACAGCAACTATGGTGGTGAGGGCCGCCAGGCAGAAGATGGCCCCGGAGCCCAGCACCACCCGGGCCTTGAACCTCGGGTGGCTCAGGCAGTTGGTGCAGCGTGCCCCCAGGAGGAAGATGAGGAACCCCAGACACCCGAGCACCAGGCTGATGCAGATGAGGCCGCGGGCCGCCTGCAGATCGGGGGCCAGGTCCAGCAGAGCGTCGTACAGCTTACACTGCATCTGGCCTGTGTACTCACTCACACAGGTCATCCACAGACCCTCCCAGAACACCTGCATGACCACCAGGTGGGTGCCGATGAACGCCGTCACCTTCCACATGGGCAGGGCACAGATCAGGATGGTCCCAGCCACGCCCATCATGGACAGGCTGATGCCCAGCTCCTGCACAGCCATGGGACACTGTGCAGCCGCGCACTGCCTGGAAACATAGAGGAGGGGGAGGGTAACAAACATGGAGGTTTTTATTCAGAATGGGCATCTGAGAGATTCAAGTTCATTCAATCTACAATTTGTTACTCAGTATCATGCAAACATTGATGTATCCCCATACAGACACGTGTGCATACTTATTAGTATTTGAGATTCATTTAAAATGAAATGCTGCTGGATGGAATAAAGAGATCTGTTAAGATTCAAAGTCATTTGGTTTGGGATGTTTTTCAGTCATTAACCTGTTTTCTGCATTATGTCGACATAATGTTCATGTATTGTTTTCATTTCAACGTTCAACTAAAGACACTAAAGATTCAAAGATGTAACAACTCAAATGCTTTATTTTCATTTACAGCGTAGTTATGGCAATGAAAACAACAATTCAACATACATTATACCTAAAAAACATTTAGACATAAAGAGTTATACAAATAGTGCAAGAAGGGAATGATGCATGTTACCCAAAGTAAAATGCCCCCTCTCCCCTCCCCCAAAAAGCTACATGTACATTAGAATAAGATCAAATACATTCAGAATGTAAAATTAAACAGTGTACAGTGGAATAAAACACTGCATATAGTAAATCAAATGTAGACTTTAACCAGATGTCTGTGTTCTAAACATAGGTCAATACTTATATAAAGTAATATGATGATTAATAAGAAATGCAGACAGACACAAGTTACAAAGTGTCACTGTGCAGATAAGCTGTGTTCACTGTTATCAGATGTGACGCTGCAGAGATGTTTAACCGTAAAGCAGAAGTTGTTTTCTGTAGCTGACGTCAATAGATACAATTTGAGAGAATTTCTAGGCGTGGTGGCAAATGGCCACCAGGTGGCAGTGTGCCAAAAGAGACAAACACAATGAGAACGAATGGGGGCAAACACTGCTGATGACTGGAAGAATCTGGGTTTTGATAACAGAGAAGTGTTAAAAAAATAAAACTGAAAAGGACAGAAAAGAACAAAGAATAATTTGAATCGTCCATTTTTTCCTGAAGGTTTTTGGTGTTGCAGAGTTACTGTTTGTTATCTGACAGAAATTGTTCACATCTCTCTTAGACTCAATAGTATATTTTAGATTTAAAAAACAATATCATTCTTTTGTCGGAAGGTTTCATGACCAAGGCGAGAAAAGCACAAAAAAACATACATTCCTTTAGTCAAATCTGTGTATTGTCTGAACTAAATAAGGAGTGTCCTGGATAACATGTAAGGGCTAATGATTTCCAAATTCAAGCCCAAATACACCGCATTTCTGCAGATATGACTGTTACATTCAATCCAGAGGCCTTTTCACTTATCTTTAAGATACTGGTATAGACCTTATTGATATAAACATCTACCTTTATTCCCTTGTTAGAATAAAGAAAGCTGTGGAGCGTGAGCATGAAAGTAAACCCCTGAGAAAACAGAAACACAGAGTGGAGAAAGTTTTCATTTTGAATATTTGAAGCTCCTCAGACACACCCTGAGACAGTTTGACCCTCCCTTGTGTTCACTGATCTGCAGTCTGATAACATGAGAACATGTGAACTAACAACATCGACACTTCAAAGCATCTTTTAAATCCAATTCAACTGATATATTTGAGATGTTCAGGTCAAAATGTGTGTCTTTAGATAGATAGAGTCACCATCTTGGTTCCCTGGTTAGTCATCTCTGGTAAGAACCTGTCAAACAGGTTCTCTCAGTGTTTGGTTTGAATAACCACGGGTGCCATTATCAAATGTACATAAACAAGAAGCAGGAGAGGGAGGAGTTTACAATAGAAGGTCATTTATTACAAATACTAATGGACTAAAAAGGTGCACAGTGCATTTACAATAAAAACATTTTTCAACTGATACCAACCACTTTCCAAACTGCCACCATATAAAGTTCACAAAGAAGAGTTCCAACAACATTCAAAGCAATGTGAGACAGAGAGTGTCTTCATACATACAAAGTGTGACTATCTTATTCAAACAAAGTGCATGTTTCCTTCATTGTGGGTTGTTCTATGTCCTTTGTACAGATATTTCTCAAAAAGGTTAACTTTTCCTTAACAACTTCTCCCTTTAAAAACTCTCAAATATACGTCTTGTTTGGTGTGTAAGATCCGAGTGAATCCACTTTGCTATCTCCAGGCTTGTTCAGGAGGTACTTCACCGAGGGGGTCTCATCCTCTTTGGGGGGACAGCTGGAACACAGAAGCGCTCCTCCCAAAACCAGCAGCGCCCCGGCCCCCCAACCGATGTACAGAGAGGCCCCGAGCTCTCTCTTCTGGGCGTCGATCAGCACTGGGTTGTAGAAGTCCCTGATGATGATGCTGGCGGTCCAGGACACGGGGATAAGGCAGAGCAGTCCACTGATGATCAGCAGCACGCCAGCCGCCACAGTGGCCCTCGCTTTGGCCCGGTCATTAGGAATGAAGTTGGTGCACTTTCCTCCAGCGAACGCTATGAGGATCCCTGCGAGCCCTGTGACGATGGAGACCACCACCAGGGCCCGGGCCCCCTGCAGGTCAGTCCCCAGGGCCAGCATGGAGTCGTACACCTTGCACTGCATCTGGCCCGTGCTCTGGACCACGCAGCTCATCCAGATGCCCTCCCACATGGTCTGTGATGTCACTATGTTACTGCCAATGAAGGCCGTGACCCGCCACATGGGTGCGCCGCAGATAATGATGACCCCGATCCAGCCCAAAAGGGCCAAGGCACATCCCGCCATCTGCATCCCCATGGAAGCCATCGTGTTCTCTCTCCGAGCGTCTCTGAGAGAGTGCGAGGAGCTGATGGGGTGTTTATGTTCGTCTGAAGCAGCATGAGAATAAAGAATGGGAGGCGTGAAAGAAATGCAATTGAGAACCCATGAAGGGCCTGCCAGAGAATACCAGCTGTGCAGGATTCTTTGTGCGTCGGGACAATACAGATTTAGTTTTCTGGATACAGATGAGGATTGTGTTTCACATGGTTTTGTTTATTCTCTGAACAAGGAAATGATGCATGTGTGGAAATGCATCGGCTTTAGAGCGTATTGATTGAAAAGCGGGGTACGGGGGGTCTTTGAAGGACAGAGTGTAACAGTATTGTTTATATAAGGGTTAAATGAAATTGAGTCTGTCAACTGTGAGATATATATTAATCCACACTGTAAGTTATTGTCAATTTCTATGTGTGTATGATACAAACAAGGAGATTGAAATGCCGTTAATCAGCGTCACAAAGGATAGAAATGTATACATATATATATATACATACATACACACATGTACACACACTTTTATATATATATATATATATATACATACTCATACATAGACACATAATATACATACACACACATTAAGAGGTGTACATAAAACGAAGGCACAGCAGTACAACATTACAGTCTAAACACAACTTTGGAAAGACAAAATAATTATTAAGATATTTTACTCCTAACTTTGAGAGGAAACATTTTAAATTGAAATATTATTACGCATAAATGTTTATATAGGGTTCTGTATAGTTGCAGTATTTTGTGGCATCTGTCTGTTCATTCATAACACCATTACAAAGGCAATTATTCTATTTTCCCACCAATTTGAGCTTAGTTTAACTGTCAACCTAACTCTGATTTGATTTTGTGTACTTTTAATCATCAAGCTATGCTGTCTAACAGTCGTATCATCCTGTGCCTACAACAATAATATACATAAAACACTTTTAAAAGTAACGTTTATAAGCAGGTATACTCTACTTATAGTCATACGTTGTACAGATTGTGAAGTCCCCTGAGTCACATTTTCTATTTGTAATATTGAGAAAAATAATAAAATGTGATTCAATCAAACATACTGTTCCACTTTCAAATGATGCACCTACTGAAACCTATTTTCCAGTCACTGCTTAGTAAGACTACAATGCATTTGTTCCATTGTGTTCTCTGACATCAGTGAGCCAGGCACACACTCTGTAACAGGTTCAGTCAGATTCTGTCAGAGGACAGGTAAGGAATGTGAAACCAGGTCCTACAGGGTGTGTTCCCCGCAGTGAAACGCCTTGCAATCTGTGCTGACATTAGGTTTGTCATGAGATGTCTGCAGAATATAATTCCCTCTCTGCTCCATAGCTTCTCTTAATAACTGGACTTCAAATCCCACTGGACAGTTTACATTCATATTCTATTTAATATTGAATAATCCATTCTTGCACAATAATATCCTGCATTATTTGTTACTGGAAATGTATATTTTCTGTAATATATATATATATATGTATATATATATATTAATTTATTTTGTATCTCTTAACTTTTTAACTTTTGAATGCTATTTTATTTCTATTTCTGAAATATATTAGACTGTTTATTTCTGTCTTAATTTCTCTTATGTACATTGCCTTGTGTTTGTATGCTGCTGCAACGCAAACATTGCCCATTGTGAGCTGCTCCCATTCTTTGTGAACTCCTCAAACACATTGTTTGCAACTGCTTTTTTGAATGACACATGGTATTTCAGATCTAACACTCAATAAGCAGAAAGACACAATTAGTCTGGGGCTTTTATGTTACAGTATGTTACAAATAACTGTTCAAAAATACATTTTGTGGAGCCTTGGTTTGAAGGGTTAAGTGGTTGAAAAGGCGATTTGCGTAGTTGGAAAGTCTTGGAAAAAATGTAGTCCATTGACCATGTACATTACATGCCGGGTGTTTCATGCCATTCATCATAAAGGGTTATGGTTTTGTTTAATTTAGGCACAGATATATCAAGCTAAATAATACAACTGCTTATCTAAGGTAGGGGAACCTTTTTTGTCGCAGTCCCAACATTAACTAATACTAACCAGTTTTATAAGGTTATGTAATTACCTTTTGAACATAAGCTGTTGGTTAAAATGAGAAATGAACAGTGCTTTCCCTAAAGAATGTATATAAAAAGTGGGCATAGCCACCATTGCAATTGAGTTTGATATTTTGACCGTCGCCATCTTGTTTCTTTTGGGACCAGAAGACAAGGGGGTGGGGCTAAGCACTAAACCACACCAGACAAGACATTTTCTAAATGTTACAATTGACTTTAATAAACTACAAAAACTATGTGAACAGGAAGACAACACCCAAACAGGACAACACCGTGGTGGTGACCTGTCAATCACAAGTTAGCCCCGCCCTACATGTCGCTTCACTGCTATTTTACTCTACATTGGACCAGAATTTAGATTATTTTGACTATAAACTAGTGAGCGGGACCATAAGTAATTAGGAACATTTTAACTGAGGTAATAAATAAAGTGGGAATAAGGATAATTTTCTCACTGGCTTCTATCAAATCTGACTTGGCTTCACTTCTCAGGCCCAGAGGTTGCCCCTTGGTTTCCACTGTTAATGTCACGTCATTTCCTCTATAGCTGCAAATTGACAAGTCACAATTACAACCGATACTCAAGCACTCAGTCACAGGAACATAAACTCATATTGATTTGGGGCTTTTGCTAAAATGACTAATAGTCTCATTTGGAAAGTTATACTTTTTCTCTTTAAAACTCACATTGGATTTTAAATTAGAACCATAACTATGAGGATGACATGCTGCATCCTTTGGTTCATTAAGGGGGGTTATATTAAATATACTGTTTAGAACCCATACCCCTGAATACAACTGAATTCAATGTGTAGAAGTTTGTTTATTTTCTATTATCTACTTTGAATCATTGCGATAAAACCATATCAATACAAATATTGTAAATGTTTCTGACAGTGGTACAACTGTTGGTCCAGGATCTTGATATCAATCCCCTGAAATGATCTTGCTTCTTTATGGCCTTTCTGATATGATTTACATTTTTGTAACACATAATGTTACTTATTAATAAGAGTATGCCAAGCCTGGTATTAAACCTCTGTGCCATTGTTAGTTATTGTGTTTTTATTAAACGTTTCAAAATAAATGTTGAGTCTACATTTTTGTCCAAAAACCTTTAAGCACGCTAATGAGCCACACGTTTATTCATTATGAACAATGGCATTGTTGATCTGTTTGAGTCAATCCCACAATTGATTTCCTGCTGTTTTAAATGCTCACTACAACACCAAATGGGTAAGTATTGACTAGGAAAATAGTCGCCTATAAATGCCGAATTTGTTTTAATGTTGCTTCTAACTACAGTGGAAGCTGAATGCATTTTTTGGCACACCTTCTTCCTAACGATAAGTGATTAAAATCTCCAGCAACACTGTAGTAAAACATGTAGAGCAACTGTATTGTAAATAAAAACTACAGTTCCCAGTGAGTAAATCATTTAGACTCTATTGTAATTCAAGTTTAGTGGAAACGTGTGACCCATATTTAAAAATACATCAGTTACAATGAGCATGGAATGCTCTTAATGTTAGTTAAGTCTTTTTATGGGATTTTTTTACTATAAAAATGTAGGATGGCACCAGAGGCCTTCACACGTCATGGTTGAATACAAAGCCTGTTCCCTGCTGGTGTTGTGAGTGTTTGTGTTGTGGTGTTTGACTGTTGAAACAAACACACTAGAGTCTGTTCTACCAGTTCAACACTGTAAAGCTTGTTGAACTGGTTTAACGCCTGCAGGAAGATTTCAGACATACTGCAGAATGTTTTTGAATACACATTGTTGTGACACACTCTCTGGCTCCATCAAACTCACTATAAACATATTCTAAACCATGAACATTTTGAGAACAGAAAACTTTAAAATGAAAAAAGGCACCCAAAATAATTTCATTTAAGCAAACGTTTTATTAAAAATCTGTGATTTTGGTAAACAAAAACAGTATTGGATCATGTATTTGCCAATAATCTATGTAAAATATTTGATACGGTACATTCACAAAATATCAAGGGTACTGTACAATTTTCCCAGCTTGTGTTAACCATTAACATCATTCTAGCACAGCTTGGATACATTCAGAAAAAATTGAAACGTTGAAACGTTTTATATAGCCTTCATTCAGTCCAGTTATTATGCTGCCACATAAATAGTTTCACAACTCTCTTTGTACTGTGTTCCCTTTAAAAAAAAAGAAACACTCTTTCTTGCCTCCACCAAAGAAATCTGAATTTCTCACAAAGTCAGTTCTCACTGTGTCACTTCAAAAGAAGTAAGACACAACTTTTGGTGCTATCAGAAACTCACAATGAAGGAGGATTACTCAAAAAAGTAAATTACTTAGAAGTCTTTTTCAGGAGAACGCTGCACTCAGACGTAGGCACGACTGGTGGCATTTGACCTGGCGCCGGAGTACTTGACGGGATATTCCGGGTTCTCTTTGGGGGGGCAGGAGCTGCAGAGGAGGGCACCGCCAAGGAGGAGAAGCCCAGCTGTGCCCCAGCCGATGTAGAGCGCAGCCCCCAGCTCTCTCCTCTGGGCGTTGGTCATGATGGGGTTGTAGAAATCCCTGATGATGGTGTTGGCAGACCAGCAGATGGGGACGAGGATGAGAACACCGGCACAGATGAAGATGATCCCAGCAGCAATGGCCACCTTGGCTTTGGAAGTTTCATCCTCCACAAAGTTGGTGCATTTGCCTCCAACAACGCCCAAGATGACTCCGAAGGCAGAGACGATGATGGCGATGACCACGAGAGCTCGGGCGGCCTGGAGGTCCTGGGGCAGAGCCAGCAGGGAGTCGTAGATCTTGCACTGCATCTGACCGGTACTCTGCGTCACACAGTTCATCCATAAACCCTCCCAGATGACCTGCGCCGTCACAATGTTGGCTCCGATGAAGGCCGTGACCTTCCACATGGGCAGAGCGCACACAATGATGGTCCCCAGGAAGCCGATGATGCCCAGGGCAAAGCCCAGCATCTGTCGTCCCATTGACACCATGATGAGGTCTTGATAGAGTCACTTGAACAGAAGCGTTGTAGTTTTCAGGAGCAGGTAAGTTCAGTTCAAGTTGTAAAGTTGAATAAAGACGGCTGAACCTTTCCTTGCTTTATAAGGACGTCCTTGTTGAAGGTGGAGTCAGAATGTCCTTCCTTCCTTCTGACCTGAAACCAGTGTGCAGTGACCCACCCAACCAGATTGTTCACATTATCCACACAGGGACCCTGGAGTAGTTTCGACGAGATGAACATCAGCCTCATACGACTATGTAAATGAGGCAGCAAAGAGCAACACATTCCGGAACAGCGGCCAGCCTTTGATTGGGCACGTTACCGGAGGATCAGGTCCAGTCACTTGATTCACATTTAAAAATAAACCCTATATGATACCGGATGTCCAATGTTAACGGAAGGAGCCTCCATTTATGGTTTTTATTATTCATGATCTCTAATTAGTTATCATCTCATGAGATTAAACTTTATATTTTTTAGGAATTGATTTCGTTTTTTCAAATCAGAAGCTCGCATGTTGATCAAAGACACAGTTGATCAGTCACTACAAAGAAATCTTTCCTTTTGTATTGTGATTTTATTTATACGTGTATTTTGTGTCTTGGTTTATTTCAGGGGTAGTATTCTGATGTTGTATCAATGTATTCACAGAGTGAAGTGAAGTTGCAAAGGGATTCAAATTAAATAAAAAAGGTTGTTTTAGGACTCTTTTACCCAAAGATGGAACTGTGTTAAAAGATATCTGGATGTGTCGCTGGTTGAAGAGAGTTGTTGAAACTGAACCGAACTTTAGATGAACACTATGGAAAATGTCCCTGTGTATCTGATCCTGCTGTGCCAAAGATGTCATAAGATGTGTAAAATGCTTTCATTAGGAATTATTTGATTTTACTTTATTTATTTATTTTTATTTCCCAGTTTGTTTTTATTTATATTATTTACTTAATTATTTCAATTTATACTGGATTTGCTTTATTTAATTATGTACTATACTTTGCTTTGTCATGTAACCATCTGTCATTTGACTGAAAACGACCTATGTCTTGTCTTGTTTTGTTAAAATGAAAATAAACAGTTAAAAAATCCGTTGCTATAGATTTGAAGAGGGACATTTTTTGTCTATTAATTTATCATTTTGGTCTCTCAGTCACCCATACACAGAAGGCCTCTGACCTTATCAAATTAGATAATATTCATAAAATTGCTTTAAAATAATAAAAAGGTGTTGTTATAATGACTCCACAAACAGATAATTGAATATATCAAAACATTTTATTAAAAATCATTCACATACTCAAAGATTAAGTGGCATTTACAGAAAACAAACATTACAAATCATCACTATTTACAAAATGTGCTTTTAATGACAAGAACATAAATACAGTATCAGCAGGGACTTCCTTATGAACACATTCATGTTGACACAATATTTCTCTTATATCAAGACTTCATGAACTAGGAACATTTCTACCATAGAGCACAACAACAATCCGAATCATATCATGTTAGATTCAACATGTTTCTGAAGTCAGATATCTCAGTCTTTATCCTGTTTCTGTTCTTTCATTTCAGAGGTATTGTCTAGCAGAGTATGCGGTTGGAGCTCCATAGGGTTTGGTCGGTGCGTACGACCCGGGGGCCGTGTAGGGCTGGCTGGAGGGGGGGGAATACACAGGACCATAGTTTGCTGGGCCTGCATAAGGGTACATTTGTGCCGGTGGGTAGCCTGGGTATCCATACATGGGTTTCTGTGGAGGGCAGGAAGTGGTTAGGATTATCCCTCCGAGCAGAAGAAGTGCAGCAGCGGCCCACCCGATGTAGATGGAGGCTCCAAGCTCCCTCTTCTGGGTCTCGATGGTCAAGACGCTCTGAAAGTCTGTGATGGTGATGGCTGCCGACCAACAGATGGGAATCAGGACCAGGACGGCGGACACGATGAAGAGACAGCCACTAATGATCACCACCTTGGCCTGGGATGAATCTTTGTCCAGGCAGCCAGTGCACTTAGCTCCAACGAAGGTGAGGATGAAGCCGATGAAGCCCACGAGGAGGGAGATGATGACCAGGGCCCGGGCGGCCTGCAGATCTTTGGAGAGCTTCATCACAGAGTCGTTCAGCTTGCACTGCATCTGCCCGGTACTCTGCATCACACAGTTCATCCACAGGCCATCCCAGATGGTCTGCCCCGTCACGATGTTGGCTCCGATGTAGGAGGTCACTCTCCACATGGGGATCCCACACGTCACTGCTACCAAAACAAGGCCTATGAAGCTGATGATCTGACCCGCAATTTCCTTGCCAATCCTGCCCATAGTGAAAAGGCTTGGTCTACGGCAGCAGAGAAGACAGCATACAGCTCTGGTCCTTTTCCCGAGTGACACAACTCTCTCGCTTGTTGTTTGTCAGGGAATGCGCTGGAGGAGGGCTCTCGTCACCAGGTGAGTTCTTCTGGTCAATCAAGATTCCTCTTCCTAGAGCTAGAGGAGTGGCACCCTTTTTTTCAAACGGTGCTAGCTGTTGTAGTTTGAAAAACACACTTTCATATGGAGATTCCACTAAAGATGGTTTTATTGGATGGACTTACAGCCACTTAGAGACTTCAGAGGTCCTGAAACCAGTTCACTAAAGGATGGCCTCCTAAGACAAAGATGAACCCCCACACACAACTGATAAGACAGCAACTAAGAGATAATGACATTATCTCTTCAATTTAAAGGTCATGTGATCAGTTTTACTTAAATATGGAAGGCTTTTCCGGTTTCTAGTGTTTATCATTTAAAAAAACACTTCTTAAAGACTTTTACACAATTCTGTTGAGACAATGTTAGGAAAAAGGAGGGAAGGACATTGTGAGCTGCTCTTTATACCTTCTACAAATTGCTTTTACAAGATGGGTTGAGTTTGTTTTCTAAGTTGAATCACTATAGCCATCAACCACAGTATCACAGAACCAGAGCAGAAACACAGAGTTCTGTAGAAGGATGGCCAGTATCACACTGAAAACAATTCTGCTCCGAAATCAACTAAAAGAATAATAAAAGCAAGGTGTCTTTGCTTGTAATAACTTAAATAAATCTTCCAATAGAATAAGTGAAAATTGGGTTCCTTGAAATTAGATGGGATATTTAGATGAATAAGATAAGATCTTGTAATTAGCTGGGAACACTTATATCGGATTGTATTGACCAGGATCAGGAAATGTTGTGTTACAAAATAAGCCAGACATGTCCATAAGTCTTCTGTTTTCTGATGTTGGTGGTTTTCCATAAAAATGTATTTTCTCATATCAAGTTATATGTATTTCTTGAAACAAGAAAGCAGCTTCAAAACCTTGTGAGACGTCACATATCTGAGACATGTTTCATCTGAGATACAACTCAAAAATATGTTTTCAAGAGTATTTGACTTAAAAAGATACTTAAGATGCATTGTCTAAATACAATACCCTATATCCAGAGGTGGGAGAAGTACTTAGATTGTGTACTTGAGAAAACTTGTAGTGTAGGAAATACTCTGTTACAAGTAAAAGTCCTGCAATCAAAATGTTACTCAAGTAAAAGTACTAAAGTATTAGCATCAAAATATAACAAAAATACCAAAAGTAAAAGTAGTGATTGTGCAGATTGGTCCATTTCAGAATAATATATATGATATGTTTTATAATGATTGATCATGAAAGTGTTCTCAAAGCTGGTAAAGGTGCAGCTAGTTTGAATGACTTTGTATACTGCAGGGTAGCTTGTGGATTTACTCCAGGTGGAACTAAAGTCTGATTTAAGACTTGGTTATATTTCACATCATTCATCCACATCTGTGAAGTAACTAAAGGTATTAATGTAGTGGAGTAAAAGTACACCATTTATCCTGAATTATAATGGGGTAGAAGTACAAAGTATCATAAAATGTAAATATTCAAGTACAAGTACCTCAAAATTGCTATTAAGTATAGTTGAGTAAATGTACTTAGTTACTCTGCCTATATCTCACTGCATTGTAACTTCTTAAGTTATTATGTCTTACATCAGTTGTAAAGACTTATTCTGACTAGAAATTAGACATTTTTCACAGTGCTTGATGCACAGACCAACATATGATATATATTTGAGTTGTACAGACAGCATCAGTTGCTTGTATGTCTGATATGATATATGGCAGTCTGCCCCGACCTGAGGAGGAGGGATCCGTTTCAGATAACGATCACTTGATGGAGTGATGAGTCACTGTCAGCTGATACAATCACTTTACTTTGAAAAAAACACATCCTATGACAGATACCTCTAAACAAACTGATGACACTCTCACACCTGATCCCGTCAGGTGAAACTGCACACACTGTCTGTTTGTTTTGCTGTACTTTTCAGAATGCTGCTGCTCGAGTCCTCACTAACACTAAGAAAGTGGATCACATCACTCCTGTTCTGAAGTCTTTACACTGGCTTCCTGTGTGTCAAAGAATAGATTTCTAAATACTGCTGCTGGTTTATAAAGCTTTGAATGGTTTAGGCCCAAAATACATTTCTGACCTCCTGCTAAATGATGAACCATCCAGATCTCTCAGGTCTTCAGGGACTGGTCAGCTTTCTGTCCCCAGAGTCAGAACTAAACATGGAGAAGCAGCGTTCAGTTATTATGCTCCAAATATCTGGAACAAACTCCCAGAAACCTGCAGGTCCGCTGCAACTCTGACTACTTTTAAATCCAGACTGAAGACTTTTCTTTTTGTCGCTGCTTTTAATTGAAACTGAGCCGTTGTGTTCATCAGTAAAGTGGAACTTCTGTGTGAACTATTCATATCTTAAACTGCACTGTAACTTTTTATTCATGTACTTTTTATTCATGTACTTTTTTTTTAATGTTTCTTTTATTATCTTTTACTGTTTTTAAATGCCTTTGTCTGAATGTCTTTCATTTTTGTAAAGCACCTTGAATTGCCTTGTGTTGAAAGGTGCTATATAAATAAACTTGCCTTGCTTTGCCTTGATGTGTGCAGCAACACTTCATATTACATTTGGATAACACACTCTTCACAGGCTTGGCAACGATGCAACCATCAACGCATCCAAGCGTAAACAAAACTCACAAATGGTGTCAATTTACTGTGAGTGTAAACTCACTTCTGAATAAACCTACTTTACCGTGTACTTTTTGTAATGATTGTGAGTTTCTTTCTAACCCGTATTGTCTGAAAACATATAATAGATTGGACTGATGCTTATGCTGACTGGTCTGAATGTATATCTGTCTGTGTAAATCTCCTTTTCCTTTAGTAAATTAGTCCAAAACAACAAAAACATAAATGGTTTAATATGGTGATTTGTCTTTTTTCCAGTTTTCTACAGAAACTACAACTCAGCAGTAACCTCCTTATGGTCATGCACTGTATGTCTGCTGAATTGCATTGCTCCATAACCATTTCCTCAGCCTACTGTGATGTTGATTTGATTACCTCTTCCTTTTCCTCTCATCTCTATAATACAACTAAATGCTTGAGTGTCTCAGAAGTAAACAGTAATCATACAGTGAGTATAAAGTTTATTTACAGAACATTACAAGATTCAGAAACACAGAAATAGAGATATACAATTGTTCAGCAGTGTGAAAATGAAAGAAAAATGCATAAATGTTCCTACAGTGTTTACGTGTTACTGACATCCCTGCGTTATCAAGACAGGCGAATCAATACAGACCCTGCTTAAGAAAAAGGAAGCTCTACTTGTTCTTCCTATATCTGTTCAGATGTTACCATTTCAATAGATTAAAGATGATTGCATTTTTAATTCACTATTAATACAATCTGACTAAATATTTACACAGATTTGATTGAATCGGAATTCATATTTTACTTATCGACCTGCCACAATACATTGTGGATTAACATTTTTAAAGGTTCTTTCATATTATTTTGTCTTGTTTTGTTGTTTTAATAAACAGCATTTTGGTCAAAGAAATCATGTTCACTCATTATAGGAAAGCGCTTTGCTCACATTAAAGATGGCTGTCTTCCATCTCCTAGGTGTGACAGAGAAGCCCAGGGCCCTGTTGGCACAACTCCCTGTGAGGAAGTCATTGTTAATGTTGTTAGTTACTCTGGCTTGACTAGACAAAATGTCCGCTCAGAGGAAGGTCACTTTGACACTAGCCACAAACAAAACTCAGGATTCAGCTGGAGCTGTATCTATGCTATACTTACAATACCGGTGAATATATGTTTTAGTTTGAGCAAACTTTGATTACATTTATCTGGTGAACAGAAAAATGCTTCAGTCTTGTGATTTAAGGGGTTAGATTGAGGCACTTATTTAGTTTACCACTCGATTCTATAATTAAATATGGAGTTTAACTCAAGATCAAACGTTAAAGGTCTTGAACATGTTGTGATTGAATGTTCTGTTGAATGTCTGTTTGTTTCTTAATATCTGTCCTTGTTGACGTTGTAAATGGAGTTAATGTGATGCAAGAAAGACATCAGACGTGACCCGACAGTAAAGCATCATGCCATCGTATTCTGTGTTTCATTTCCTGTGACCCCAATAGTCCGTGTAGGAAGGGCTAACCCTCTCAGACGTATTCTCTGGATGTGCTGGTGCTCTTCACAGGGGTGAATCTTTGTTGGTAGTGAGGGTGTTCTTGTTTGGGGGGGCAGTTCCAACAAAGCAGGCCCCCTCCTATCAGCAGCAGTGAAGCAGCCGCCCAGCCGATATACAGCGCCGCTCCCAACTCGTACCTCTGGGACTCGATCAGCAGCGGGTTGTAGAAGTTGGTAATGATGGTGTGGGCGGACCAGGACACGGGGATGATGACGAGAAACCCCGACACGATGAACAGAGCTCCAGCCAGGATGCAAGCCTTGGATTTGGATCGCTCCTCCTCGATGCAGTTGGTGCACTTCCCCCCGGCGATGGACAGGATCACCCCAAAGACCCCGGTCAGGATAGAGATGATGATCATGGCGCGGGCCGCCTGCAGGTCCTGGGGCAGGGCCAGCATGGAGTCGTACACCTTGCACTGCATCTGGCCCGTGCTCTGCACCACGCAGTTCATCCACATGCCCTGCCACACCGTCTGAGCCGTGATGATGTTGGCCCCCACGAAAGCAGTGACCTTCCACATGGGCATGGCACACACCACGATCACCATGAACCAGCCAATCAGGGCCATGGATATACCGATCATCTGAATCCCCTGAGAAACCATGTTGCCGGCTCTGTTCCTCACACGATAAAATCCAAAAAGGAAGACCGGTGGAGTGATGTGAGCTTGTATTTATAGGTTGTTGTGTGAGAAGAAGGGACACACACATGAGGGTATGTGAGTCCTGGGCTCCTATTGGGTAGAAGGAGTTTACACACAAACAAAGATTCAGTGACCTTTAATAGTGCTGACCTGCTCAAACCATACGTTCAAGGTCAGATACAAACAGAAGAAAACTTGTTGTCAACTCTTTATTTTCCAAATAACTGGGATTTCAAAGTAAAACATTTGGCCAGGTACATTTACAAATGAATTTCAAATTTAAATTATAAATCTTCTATGACGATAATATAACACATAAGTAAGTAACCCTCTTTTCCCAGAGATTGTTGAATAACTGGGTGTGTTGACACACATGTAGTTATGATCTAACTTGAACACCTGCCGTATTATGGATTAAAGTTTCAGGTCTGTAAGAATATATACAGGATGTGTTATTCTGTTAACAGCAAGGGGCAGTGTTGGACAGCTAAGGATTTAGATATTGGGCAATGGAAGTTTCCTGTGTAAAAACATTCATCTCATTCATTGTGAGGTCGATACAAATATAAGGTTCATATTTTAACACATTGCTGATGCTATTGCTAAACTAAAGAACATTGTGTTGCTTGTTACTTAAATGTTTGTGTCTCATAGATCTAAGAATTACACTTTTCAGGCTGTAAAAGAGCTCATAGTCTTTGTTGACTTTTAGAGAAAAGCTAATCATGTTCTAGCGTTTAAGAGACTTATTCAAACATTGACAGTTTGTTCCCCCATTCACTCTGAGGTAAACGTATTGTCTTTTTACACATATTTGGTCACAGTTGCTCAATCATTATTTCTTGGATATCGTATGAGGTAAATAAGTGCACAGTATTGAATAAGATCCACTGTGAAAATGACATGTTTTTATTGTCGATATCACAAACAGAGACACATCAGATTGTTAACACTTTTATCTTGCACTTAATAAATGCATTCAGTTATTTTTTATTATAAATAAATTATTAATATAATCTCTGGTCTAGGTATATTCACACTTAGGAACACTGTGTGAATTAGGAGTAATTTAGGATATATTTTTGTAATCTTGATAGTATGTATAATTCTGTCCTACATTAATAAAACATGTAGCCTTGTTTTAGTTATAAATGACTCAGAATGATTCAGCAGGTAGAGCAGAGTCCTCATCTCTCATGTCACATCTTTAGCTTGATGAAGGTGCTTTAATGGCATGTTACGAAAAAAAGAAAGAACAACCACAACAAGATAATTCAATGTTGATACAAAAAAAACTTTATTTACAGTTTCAGACATTCACATATTGTATAATACACATTTTGAAATGCAAAAATATGTAAAAAAAAAAAGGCACAGATTGATCAAGTTTAAATGTTATCCAATTTCTATATGTATATTTCCCACCCTGGGATTATGTTTGGGTGTGGTCCACATCGCCCACTGAAGTGCTGTATCTCAACATGAAAGTAACAACTAAACAGTGAGCCCTATAGAAATCACCGTGAAATTCAAATCATACTCATTGTGGCAACATGAATCTCAGGCGCCAGAGCATTCAACCCAAGTCTTTGTTCAGTCCTATCATCCTGTTTCTCTCCTCAGACGTAGTCCTTGGGTGGGATTGAACGGGGAGCGGAGTACTTTGCAGAGTATGTATCCTTGGGAGGGCAGTTGGCACAGAGGAGAGCCCCACCCACGATGAGAAGGCCTGCGGACCCCCAGCCGATGAAGAGTGCAGCTCCCATCTCCCTTTTCTGAGAGGACATGGCGAGGGGGTCATAGAAATTCTGTATGATGGTGTTGGCCGTCCAGCACACCGGGATGAGGCACATGACCCCAGTGATGATGAACATCACCCCGGATGCCACGCCAATCTTAGTTTTGGTGCTCTCGTCCTCCACGCAGTTGGTGCATTTCCCCCCAGCGATGGCGAGGAGGAGGCCGAAGACGCCGACCACGATGGCGAGGATCATGAGGGCGCGGGCCGCCTGCAGGTCTGAGGACAGGGCCAGCATGGAGTCGTACACCTTGCACTGCATCTGACCCGTACTCTGCACCACGCACGTCATCCAGATGCCCTCCCAGGTGGTCTGAGCCGTCACGATGTTCTGGCCGATGAAGGCTGTCACTTTCCACTGAGGAAGGGCGCAGACCACGATGCACCCAATCCATCCAATAATGCAGAGGGCAGTGCCCAGCATCTGCACACCTGCTGACACCATGTCTCTTAAAACGTTTCCTGCAGTCGTCCAAAGAAAAAAGGTCCAAAGGTTTTTCTGTCTTGCTTGAGAGAGATCCCAAAGAGTAAATGTTTGGGTAGGGTTGGAGCGGGTCTTTTATACACTTAACCCGGGAGGGGCTTGACACACACGCTTTGTCAGCAGTGACGTAAGGACTACCCCCCCCACCCACAGCCGTGGGCATGTGTCCTCATGTCAGTAATTGTCTCTGTCAGATTATCGCCGCAAATGGAACGCGTGTGACTCACAGGTTTTGGTTTAGCAGACAAAAAAAAGCACCAGCCACACCTTCAATCTGCAATTGAAGCTTAATGCTGTTTTTCTGAAAAGACAGAAACTGAAAACAACAAATAGGCTGTTTTAAGAATTGCTTTTTTTAAGTTCACCCTGGTAGATCTTGAAATGTATCCTTGATCCATTAAAACAATTTTAAAGCACTATTAAAAGCAAAAAGTTAGTCCTATTCAGGCTGTATATGAGCACATCATTAAAAGTAAGTATAACAAATTAATCTACAACAAATGACACGGCTAAGATTTCCCCAGAGTTTCACGGTTTTATCAAACATTTACTTTTTGTTTGCAAAGGAGTTAATGTGTGCTTTCAAACCTCTGATGTCAAGACAGTGACGGAGTAATATCTTTCATCTCCATTTCCCAATCAAGGGACACACACACACACACACACACACACACACACACACACACACACACACACACACACACACACACACACAGCACACACACACACACACACACACACACACACACACACACACACACACACACACACACCACACACACACACACACACACAACACACACACACACACACACACACACACACACACACACACACACACACACACACACACACACACACACACACACACACACACACACCACACCAACACACACACACACACACACACACACACCACACACACACACACACACACACACACACACACACACACACACACACCACACACACACACACACACACACACACACACAACAGTTGGCCAATCGTACAGACTGAAATGATATGAGTGGAAATGTATGTCTGAGTGAAGGTACGTGCATAAAACTACTAATCTCCTACTCACTTCACCATATCTTAGTCTGAGAATAGAATGCTAGGTACACAATATTTCAAATTCGATTAGTTGAACCCAAATTCATGACCTTCACTGCAACTATTTTGTTGCTTTTTACCTTCATGAACAGGAACAAATCATATTGTCAAAAAAATGGTATATCTTGTCCTGAATAAATGACTTACTTTGATAAGCTTTAATCTACAGAATGCATTTAGTCCCACTGCCCAGAACCCTGTTCATTGAAAACATTTAACATTCAAGTACATCTGAACTGAGCACACTGGTTAACACAGGGTCAAAGCCAATGGACACACCCAGGAAAATATTCAAAAACTAGATTTTGTGCAAATATAATGACCACTATTTGTCCAGTCTCAAAGAAATAACTTATATGAGCGTGCATGAACAGGAGATGAATCTGACCTTCAGTGATGTCAGTCCTTGCAGGGTGAGGGTTGCAGTCTTCTCCTGGAAGTGGTCTTTGGAGAGAGATGTGCACTCTGCAGTCCGGGGGTCCCGCTCGGTTTATCGATAGTTTTCCGCAGCAGTGAGGGAGAGGAAGATGTTGGGGAAATGGCAAACACTACGCCAAGTGATTCCTACTGACACACTGTTGCAAAAAGAGGGAATAGTGAGAGGGGGCAAGAGAGGTAGAGAGGGAATCAGATTGTTTCAGAATGAATGGAGGCAGTGTTTAAGGGCCAAAACTGCCGTTAGGACTATAATGCCTCTATTTTATCCAAGGTAGGATGATTAAAGCCTCTTTGGCCTGGCTATGGAGATTGGGTTCCACACACAGGGAGGCAGGGTGGAATTTCAACTAAGAATCTGAGGAGAGATGGTTTCAGGGGGGATTAGTCCTGGTGTGCAGGGAGCCCACAAACACACGTCACATGTTTTTAAAAGATGCACATATTAATACGATAGTAAAATGTTGTGCAACATTTGTGAAGGTGTGTGTTTTTGAAAGGGCGTGACTTATGTAAGCATTTCAGAGCTGATACATTTTGCCAATGTAAGTTTACTCTGTGAAAGAGTTTCGCAAAAGGGCTCGGTGCAAATTTAGCGGCAACAGGTTGAGGACTCGGCTTCAGGAGCTGTGAGAAAATGCCAGAGGGGGTTGAAGTGACAAGTGGCAGCAGGTTGTTTGAGGCAAGCCCAGACTCACATTAACGGCTGGCTTTCACTCAGGTGTCCAACCGTTAAACCGGCTGGGGCATTATGCAGATCAAAGCTAAGTCAATAGTGCTGGGGGGAAACGATTATTTTGAAAACGATTAATCGGGCGATTATTTGATCGATTAGTCGACTAATCTAACGATTATTTTTCTGTTGTTCAATTCATAAAAAACGTAATGTAAAAAAAACGTAATGTAAAAAATAATTTGTTCACGATACTGTGTCTCAGGGATCTTAATATTTAAGAACCTATTAATGTGTTATACCAGATTAACGGAAATAATCTCAGCTAACTGACGATACAAACCATGTTTACCAAAACAAAACACAAGTCTCATAAGAAGCATCTAAATGACCCCTGAGCGAAAAATGCTAACGGACATTGGCACAGAACTCAAGATAAAAGTACCCTTATTACTTATCGTAGCTGCACATACAATATATCCGATTAAAGCTGATACTCCACAGATTATGTAGGTATATAGTATTATCACTGAGTGATCCGGACTCGCGACAGGGGAAGCAAATACAGTCATCACAACACGTACCTTCACAGAGCTTCTAGGGAGATCGTCTCACCACCGTAGCTGTCAATCTGATCAAAAGACGTGTTCAATGCTATGGTTCAATGGCATTCAAATGAGAAAAAAACGCGGCTGAATCGGTTAATCCATAGGTTTTTCACGTCTATGTATAAAAAAATGATTGAATTTATAATCCATAATTCCATTTTATGTAAAAATCGGAGAGCAAATGCTAGCTGCTAATGGTAGCCACCACAGCTAGCTGCTGCTTCTGCTAGGCTATGCAGCAGTCTCAGTGAGATATAAATATATAAATATCTTTGCGTTTTGGACTAACTTTAAAATATTCCCATGCTTTTGAAGACCTAGGGCGAGATGTTTTCGTTTGGGGGCTTCGTGCGCAATCCTGTGAGGAGGAGGTGGTAGCCGTTTCAGTCTCCATTGTGTTTGAAGTGCGATTGCGAACTGCTTGTTGCTTTAACCGGGCCGGCTCAAATGATTGGTTGTACTTTTTACAGTACTACGGCTTCCAGAGATGACTTTTTGTATGGATTTTTTGTCAAAGCACTTCAGATATTCATTGCTATCGGGATGTTAAGAGCATTCCATGGAATATAACAAAAAATGTATCTCGAGCCGGTTTCTCAAACTTACCTACCCCACCTTAAAAAGGCACATACAAGTAAATGTGTGTTAACATATGGTGGCGCTTGGACAGTTTTGAATGTCAGTGCTGGAAACTAAACAGTGCACAGTGACATAATTGGGTTCCACATTTTCGAACATTAAAGGTGGGGTAGGTCATTTGGGAGAAAGCAGCTCGAGTGCGCTAGAATTTTGAAAATACACAACCGGAAACAATCTGCCACTTCCTTACAGAGCCCCTCCTCCAACACACACGAACGCGCACATGACCAATGAGGGCACGAGATAAGTTTGTGCACAGATGGAAGGCTGACAGGCAGGTAGGCCATCCAGGTACTTTTAGCCGGGCCGGCTAAGATGATTGGTCGTGCTTTTTTACAGTATTACGGCTTCCACAGATGACATTTTTTTATGGATTTTTTGTCAAAGCACTTCAGATATTCATTGCTATCGGGATGTTAAGAGCATTCCATGGAATATAACAACAAGTGTATCTCGAGCCGGTTTCTCAAACTTACCTACCCCACCTTTAAGTACCATTATCCAAAAAAGAATCTTAAAATGTAGTTACATTCAATTCATTTGTCCCCTTGGGTATACATGATGGGCATCTTGGTGGACTCTACAGTACCAATTCGGTAGTGGCGGAGTAGCAATGTATTTGTATAGTTTTTAAAAAATCTATAAACTTTGAATTGAACAAGGCACCTTTGATATTGTTTTGAGACTCCCAGTGTTCGGTAGTTTATTTGTGGAGGTTCTGCTAATATTTGTGTAAGGGAGAATTATTCATATCGTTGTGAAATTGTTAACAGTGTAATCTGAAGAGACTGTCAGTCAGATTGTATCTAGTAGCTAGATAACAAAATATGTGATATATGATATGATAAATGAAAGACATTTTGTGTTAACCAAAGATGTAAATACAATTTTAAAAAACAGTTGAATATATGAGTATTGGCGCATAGTACATTTGAAGCAAGTTACTAAACTGTCACACATTTTATGTCCAAGCATGACATATGATAAAACGATCCATGGAAATTGTTTGTAATGAAAGGAGAATTTTCCTTACTAACACTTTTGGGGAAAAAGCCTACACAGTTTCAGTTGTCAGAGTGGGAATATGTGTGTGTGGGAGGACCATGTCCGTATTTGGCCTGTGATGTCATCACTGGGGGCCTGAGGCTGTTGTCCAGGTGCCAGTCACAGTTTCAGTGGGTAATTTTAGCGTGGTGGTAACTATGTGTGTGGGATACTCAGTGAGTCATGCATGTTTGGGCATGACACATTATCACATGACACAAACAGGAACCTGAAGACACGGCTCAGGTATAAACTAAATGTTTCCCTAAACAGCAATAGAGTTAACAATTAACTCATTGTGTTACTCTGAGGTAGTGAAGTAGAATTAAAAAGAAGCTTTAAATGGAATTAATAACGTGAAGCACCTCAGTGCAGTCTTGTGCAGTTTAGAGTAAATGTGACTTCTACCTGTTCTATTTTGTCCGATTCTATTATGAGGACATGGGCTGTGACCCCATGCACTCTTAGTTTGTTGTTATGTTGGTGAAGAAGGACTCATTTTGTTGCAGATCATATGTGATTCTTGTCTAATCTAAACCATAGTGTCATCAAAGTCCTGGATCAGGTGATTTGAGACGCCTACAGCTACAAAGGCCTCAACTACTCTGCTATATTTGCAAGGCCATGTGTCCTATAGGGCTGCTCAATTAATCGTATTTTTATCGTAATTACGATTATGGCTTGCAACGATTACGAAAACAACGTAATCGAAATAAAACGATTATTTTTTTATTATGACTTTTTTTAAATTAGTTTTTCAGTTGAATTGTAGTGTATACTTAAAGTTCAGGGTAATCAACTGTTAAAAACATACTGTTCAAAAAAAATTCTCCAATAAATTGATGTTTTCAAAGTAAATGATTAATCGTTTTTAATAATCGTGATATCAATTATTGACCCAAATAATCGAGATTATGATTTTTGCCATAATCGAGCAGCCCTAGTGTCAGGTTAATTTGTAAAAGTCAGTTAATGTAGATGTAATAGGGGCCACACACAGTATGGAGGACGGAACATGACTTAAGTATAAATAAATAAATGTATGAAGAAATACAAGAATAAATAATTAAATACGTAAATAAATAAATAAATAAATACAGGAATAAATAAATACAGGAATAAATAAATGACGAAATAAATACAGAAATAAATAAATGTTGAAATGAATACACAAATAAATAAATAAAAGAATAAATGCATAAATAAATGCATAAATAAATATGGAAATAAATACATCAATGTACAAATAAATAAATAAAAGTCGAAAATAAAACAGAACACACGTTATTATATATCTTTCATTTATTTCTACATTTACGCGACATACATTTATTTATTTATGTATTTATGTGTCCGTATGCTAATGAGGTGGGCGGTCCTAACCTCAGTCTGAAGCAGGATTCGCCAATTGTTGGAGCCAGGCAGAAGCAATAGATTTGTGGCAAGTCACATCATGTCGAGCTGAGCCAAGTCCTCTATACATCGTTCCACACGAAACTGGACATAGTCTTTTGGTTCTCCGTTCTCTAAATGGTCCGCTAATGATCGTAAATGATCTCCAATGGCTCTTAAATCAATATCCATAAATAAACCTTACAACTGTGGATAAACCATGGATGTATAAAGACAAGGGCTAAACAGTAAAGCTCCTGCATTCGAATCAGCGCGGTTATCCAGGCGTTAGTAGTAGAGCCCTCTGCCAGAAATGATCACACACTCCTGTAACCAATCCTGCTTCAGACTGAGGTTAGGACCGCCCACCTCATTAGCATACGGACACATAAATACATAAATAAATAAATGTATGTCGCGTAAATGTAGAAATAAATGAAAGATATATAATAACGTGTGTTCTGTTTTATTTTCGACTTTTATTTATTTATTTATACATTGATGTATTTATTTCCATATTTATTTATGCATTTATTCTTTTATTTATTTATTTGTGTATTCATTTCAACATTTATTTATTTCTGTATTTATTTCGTCATTTATTTATTCCTGTATTTATTTATTCCTGTATTTATTTATTTATTTATTTATTTATTCCTGTATTTCTTCATACAATTATTTATTTATACTTAAGTCATGTTCCGTCCTCCATAACACACA